ATTCTAAAGCCATATTTTGGTATAGATTTTCTACGTCCTTGGCGTGTGTTTTATCTTTTATGCTTCTTTCACAGACTACTTGCGTTGTATAGTTTCAAATGCATTTTAAAAATGAAGTTTAAGCTACCATATTAGTAAAGAACGATCATTTTTATTGATGTGCACTCACAGGGATGACACTTAAGTCAGGTGAAAGTGTCTAAACTGTGATCAGCTGTAGTTAAAAACACAGGTTAAGCAGTATTTAAACTGTGATTAGCTGTACTTACACAAACACAGGTTAAGCAGTATTTACACTGTGATTAGCTGTACTTACACAAGCACAGGTTAAGCAGTATCTAAACTGTGATTCGCTGTAGTTACACAAACACAGGTTAAGCAGTATTTACACTGTGATTAGCTGTACTTACACAAACACAGGTTAAGCAGTATTTAAACTGTGATCAGCTGAAGTTACACAAACACAAGATGAACAGTATTTAAACTGTGATTAGCTGTACTTACACAAACACAGGTTAAGCAGTATTTACACTGTGATTAGCTGTAGTTACACAAAGACAGGTTAAGCAGTATTTACACTATGATTAGCTGTACTTACACAAACACAGGTTAAGCAATATTTAAACTGTGATCAGCTGAAGTTACACAAACACAAGATGAACAGTATTTACACTGTGATTAGCTGTACTTACACAAACACAGGTTAAGCAGTATTTACACTGTGATTAGCTGTAGTTACACAAAGACAGGTTAAGCAGTATCTAAACTGTGATTAGCTGTACTTACACAAACACAAGATGAACAGTATATATAGCGTTAGTCAGTTGATGTTTCTCCAGAGTCTTGATACTATTTTTGTCAGAACATTAAGGTTATTCAAAAATAAATAAATCTATTAACATTAACAGAAATAATTCAATGACATAAAAACTGATGATTTAATAAATTGGAGTTAATTTATCTAGAATAAATCGTATAACATACTGTAAGAAGCTGAATTTAAATCCAGAATATATTATACTGACAACAGCAATAACTCCAGAAGATTATTATATCTGATTAAAGCAGTTCATCTAATAGCCTTAAAACAGATAATCTAGTAAGATTAAACCAGTTAATCTAATAGCCTTAAAACAGATAATCTAGTAATATTAAACCAGTTAATCTAATAGTCTTAAAACAGATAATCTAGTAAGATTAAACCAGTTAATCTAATAGCCTTAAAACAGATAATCTAGTAAGATTAAACCAGTTAATTTAATAGCCTTAAGACAGATAATCTAGTAAGATTAAACCAATTAATCTAATAGCCTTAGGACAGATAATCTAGTAAGATTAAACCAGTTAATCTAATAACCTTAAGACAGATAACCTAGTAAGATTAAACCAGTTAATCTAATAACCTTAAGACAGATAACCTAGTAAGATTAAACCAGTTAACCTAATAGCATTAAGTCAGATAACCTAGTAAGATTAAACCAGTTAATCTAATAGCCTTAAAACAGATAATCTAGTAAGATTAAACCAGTTAATCTAATAGCCTTAAAACAGATAATCTAGTAAGATTAAACCAGTTAATCTAATAGCCTTAAAACAGATAACCTAGTAAGATTAAACCAGTTAATCTAATAGCATTAAGACAGATAATCTAGTAAGATTAAACCAATTAATCTTATAGCCTTAAGACAGATAATCTAGTAAGATTAAAACAGTTAATCTAATAGCCTTAAGACAGATAATCTAGTAAGATTAAACCAGTTAATCTAATAGCCTTAAGACAGATACTAGTAAGATTAAACCAGTTAATGTAATAATTTTAAGACAAGATAATCTAGTAAGATTAAACCAGTTAATCTAATAACCTTAAGACAGATAACCTAGTAAGATTAAACCAGTTAATCTAATAGCCATTAAGTCAGATAATCTAGTAAGATTAAACCAGTTAATCTGAAAGCCCGATAATCTAATATGCTTACGCCAGGAATGTAATGATTTCTATCCATTTCATTTAACTGAAATCAATCTTATATCTTTAAGGTCTCTACTAATTATCTGTGTAGCTAAATGAAGCAGTCTGAGTTTACCACCAAAGTAGGGATTGAAAATCTAGTATCACTGTACTTGTTTGTCTACTTTTTATTGCAGTATTTATTTTGTTTTGGATACTTCTTACAGCCATTCTACGAATAACCAACGATCCCTACTTTCCGTTAATTCATTATTATTTTACCTATTTATTACTATTTATTTATTATTTTCACACGGACGTCGCCATCTTTATTTAATACACGGTTCACATTAAAGTATGTGGCAAGTTACATCCGAATTGTAAATTGTTGTTACATGATTTTTATGTTAAATAAATAGCAAGCTGAAGGCGGGTGAATCTTGACAGTCGACTCTCAATCTTATATTGTCGTTCTGCTCTGTTCTACAACTGAACAAGGTATCATTCACTTTCTTTCCAGCGTTACAAGTTACGTGAACACATTTCTCGCTGGAAAGTTTAATCAATAATTGAAGAAGAATCTGATGTTTAATTAAGGAAAATAAGGCACTAATACTTTTCCTTTCACTGACTGCTACTCAGGGTGATTAACACTTCTCCTCCTAATGATCAGAAAGTAAATGAATAATAAACAATGACTGATATGCTCGCTATCTACTAGAAGGGAGCTGTACGTGGGATCGTATTCTGAAGAGGATTCTATGGTGTCTTGTAAGTCAGGGAGCTGTACGGGGGAATCGTAATTCTAAAACAGAACTCTATGATGTCTTGTTAGTAAGGGAGCTATCTGTACGTGGGATCGTATTCCTAAAACAGGACCCTATGATGTCTTGTTAGTAAGGGAGCTATCTGTACGTGGGATCGTATTCCTAAAACAGGACCCTATGATGTCTTGTTAGTAAGGGAGCTATCTGTACGTGGGATCGTATTCCTAAAACAGGACTCTATGATGTCTTGTTAGTAAGGGAGCTGTACTGCTACCTTTTCTACAGAATTAATCTAGTTTTTGATAATACAGTTGTAGAAACAAGACTTATTTAAAGTCGACTTGTCCCGTAGAACGAATCTTGCTTTACAATACAGTTGATCCGATTGTGTTTTTTATAGAATTAATGTTGTTAGTTTTTTTATCAGTAGGTATTTTTTAGTTGACTTGTCCTATAGACTTACTTTCGGTTTTAGATAAAAAGTATAAGTTTGACTCGTTACTCTAGGAGGTCCGATTGAAAATGGTGGATCCCCGGGGATATAGCAAGACATCCACCCTGGAGAACACAACCAACACCCCCGCACCTGAGCTGGAGACTGCCTTATGCAAAAACATCAACACCCTGTACGGCGTGAGTCCGAGCGACATCGACAAGTATTCCCGGGTGGTTTTCCCAGTCTGCTTCGTCTGTTTCAACTTGATGTACTGGATCATCTACCTACACATTAGCGACCTGTTGTCGGAGGACTTCGCTTCTGTTGGATAAACAGCCAACATGTCTCAAGAAACCAACACAACACGTGCTCTGAAGTAGCTCAATATAACAAATCTGAAACTGACCCCCACGTGTACAGCTAATACAAATATAATGATATACATGCCATTAAACCGTTAGATATATTAGTATTTTCTATATGTAGAAGCTTGGTTAATAGCCTTACAAAAAAGCTTTGGAAGTTAAATATTAGATCAACACTCCACGTGTTAGTCGTGTCTGACATTACTGCACTCTTTCTTTTATACATTATTGATGGTGGGAGGGGAAGAGGGATTAAACATAAGTAAATTCGACCGTGGGGAAATTTTTAAATGTGAATTGTGACCATTATAAATAGGTAATAATATTTTGTTAGAAGCAAATGTATAAACGTCGTAAGCTGAGCAGGAAGGATTATTGGGTAAGGTTTGAGAAGAAGAGATAGTGAAAGAATATAAAAACTGTGAGTTATAATTGGGAAGGTCTTGAGAAGAAGACATAGTAGAAAGAATAATAAAAC